TGAAAGTGTGGGTAAAAAGGAGAAAATGGAGGTTTTAAAATGAAAAATCGTTTTTCGTTAGTTTTGGACCAATTCTGAGCTATTTTAAATCTAAAAATCTAATGTATCCAACTGCTTTTTGCAAACTGGTCATTTTTCACCCTTGGACCCTTTTGGACCTTTTTTCCATTTCTCTCTTCTTCCCTCGAGGTCCCTTCACCTTCTTTATCTGCGTCTCTCTTTCTCTGCACTCTCTCTCACTTCCCCTCTCTCTAAATGTCTCTTTTATGTGTCCAGAATATATGTGAGTGTATATATATGTCTCCATTCGAGTCTTATGCTCAATTTAACAATCGTGAAAACGCATTTTGGCGTTTTTTGAGCGTTTCTGAACCCCAAAATTGCGGATTTTTCGAATTTCCTAGCTGAAGGAAGCTCTTCCAGATGGATCTAGAACTTTTAAAGATATTTTCAAGTCATTTTAAAGCATATTTAAGCCGTTTTTAGTGAGTTTCCAGCTATTTTTTTGGCTATATTTCCAAAATTTTTGTTCCTTTTCTAAACAGTTTTTAGAAAATAGGGACCACAAGACCGCCCTAACTCGATTCATTCTCTTTTTCTCTCTCTTTTCTCTCTCTGTTTTTTCCTCTTTTTTCTGCCTAAAATGTCCCGAAGGAAACAGAAAAAACCACGAGACTTTCGTATATTTTTTTCGCTTTTCTAGAATTTTCAGCAACATTTCTTAGCTTCAAATAGTCCTTGTTACACTTTTTATCTTTTTATCTTTTCTCAAATCAAATTTTTCTGATTCAATTCTCAACAAAATCGCATTAAGATAGATTCATATAAATCTCACTTTGATAAATTGGAAATTTCTCTAAATCTCTCTTTTTCTCGTATTTGCTCTTTTTTCAATTTAATCAAGCACTTTATATATATTGGAATTTTCTAAACTATTGGACACCCCCTCCCTCTACATCGTCCCATATATCTCGTTTCTTATAAAAGATATCAAAAAGTTGTCAACTGATAAAATGTTTATCATATTATCAGCTACATTTTATCAGCTGACCACTTTTTGATATCTTTCACAGGAAATGAGATATATAGCTCGAAACTAATAGCGGCGATTTTCAGGGATTTAAACTCAAAATCCCCCATTTTCACCATTTTAACTAGATTTTCAGACTTTTTAACCTCGATATTCGAACTCCCCGCTCTTAAAAACCCCCGGAAAACACTTTAAAAAAGAAGTTGCCACCGGTGGGATTCGAACCCGAGACCCCTAGATCCAAATTCTTCCGTCGAAAATCCCACTAGGCCACATGAGCAATTTTTGAAAAAATTGCTAGAAAATTAATTTTTGGGTCAAAAATTGGGTTTTGAAAGGATTTTAGGCTAATTTTTTGACTCCTGTGAGTGATTTTACAGCTATTTTGATCCGTTTCAAGCTAATTTAGCGATTTTCGAGGATTTTCATTCCAAAATCCACATTTCCACCCATTTAACAGGACTTTCAGAACTTCTAACCCCGATTTTCGAACTCCCCGCCCTTGAAAACCTCCAAAAAACACTTTTAAAAAGGAAGTTGCCACCGGTGGGATTCGAACCCGAGACCCCTAGATCCAAATTCTTTCGTCGAAAATCCCACTAGGCCATATGAGCGATTTTCCAGAAAATTTGCTAGAAAGTTGGTTTTTGGATCAAAAAATGGGTTTGGAAAGATTTTTTGGCTAGAAATTGTGTGTTTTAAATGGTTTCTCTAGATTTTTGAACTTCCTAAACACTTGCTTCGTTGTTACTAGCTCAGCGATGGTGACTCAAAGTTGAAAGTTAGGAATTTTAATCAATTTTCAGTTTTAACTCCCTTTCAGATATTTCTGATCAAATTTTGACCAATTTAAAAAATGATGTGTGTATGTATTGGTCTACACAACATCTGTGTAGCTCACTCTGTGTAGACACAGCTGTGAGCTGTTCAAGAAACAGGATTAGCAAGAAAAATGTAGAAAATAGTGACTATTTTTGCAACTAAACTATTTTTCGTTCTGATTTTTCTTTCCCTAGTGACTGAAAATTCCTTTTCGTGAAGTATTTGAAGCTGTCTGAAAGCCTAGAATTGTCACTTGGTTTTTTGAATATAGAAAAACAGAGATTTTCAGTTTTGGCGTCAAAATGAAGACTTCCAAAATAGTCCTCTTTTGAGTTTATTCATCTCGAAGAAAACACACAATTTTACACAATTTCTAACTCAAAAAACCGTTCTAAACCCAATTTTTTACCCAAAAATTAATTTTCTAGCAATTTTTTAAAAAATTGCTCATATGGCCTATTTTCGACGAAAGAATTTGGATCTAGGGGTCTCGGGTTCGAATCCCACCGGTGACAACTTCTTTTTTAAAGTATTTTTCGGGGGTTTTCAAGGGCGGGAGATTCGAAAATCAAAGTTAGAAAGCTTAAAATTCAAGTCAAAAGGGTCAAAATGAAGAAAAGTTCATGAAAATCGCCAAATGAGCTTGAAGCAGGTTGAATATAACTCAAAACGACTATAAATCTTAATTAAATAAGTGTGTAATTTGAAAAATTAGGCAAAACAAAACTTTTGGACCTGTTTTAGCAGGTTTTCATCACTTTTAACACTACTGTACTAGAATGCCTCTTCTTTTGAAACTCGTCAACTTTGAGCGTATATATCTCATTTCCTGTCAAAGATATCAAAAAGTAATCAACTGATAAAATATTGCTCATTTTAAGACAAATATGTTATTAGTTGACTACTTTTTGATATCTCTTACAGTAGCCAGGATAAATGGTGTCAAACTTGACAATACGCCTGTGGGACAAACAATTTCAATTCTGGAACTTTGAGCTCAATCTTCCTGTTAAAGATATAAAAAAGTTGTCAACTAATAAAATATTGCTCATTTTAAGACAAACATTTTGTTAGTTGACCACATTTTGATATGTCTTACAGTAATCCAGGAAATCGGAATTTCCGTATGGCAGCCAAGCAATCTCTAGAGGAGGAAAAAAACCACTTTGCGTGTTATTTAATGTTAGTGTTTGCAGGATAGATAATTACATATATTACATTCAATGTTATTATGCTGACAGGTGTTTATTTGTATAACTTAACAGCGTCTAGTTCAGCTTTTTTGTGTCTTCTATCAGGTGTTTTAGGTATTGATTGTTTTTTGTGAAAAGAAAATTGAACTTTTAAGCCTTTCTAAAAAGTGAACTTATGGATTTTAAAATGAAAATCCTCGAAAATAGCTGGAAAATCACTCAAAGGAGCCAAAGATTGCCTAAAACCCTTTTAAAACCTAATTTTTGACCCAAACATCAATTTTCTAGCAATTTTTTAAAAAATTGCTCATATGGCCTAGTGGGATTTTCGACGAAGGAATTTGGATCTAGGGGTCTCGGGTTCGAATCCCACCGGTGGCAATTTTTTTAAAAAAATGTTTTTTGGGGGTTTTCGAGGGCGGGCAATTCGAAAATCGGGGTTAAAAGCTCTGAAAGTGTGGGTAAAAAGGTGAAAATAGAGGTTTTAGAATGAAAAATCGTTTTTCGTTAGTTTTGGACCAATTTTGAGCTATTTTAAATCTAAAAATCTAGTGTCTTGAACTGCTTTTTCCCATTTTTCCCACCGGAAACTGGTCATTTTTCCCCCTTGGACCCTTTTTTTCCCTTTTCTATTGACCCCCACTCTCCCATCTTCTTCCCTTTCTAAAACTTTCAAAAAGGACCTTCTAAACTCTTTTTTTAAATAAAAATAAGCTGAAAAATTGAATTTTAAGCTTTGAAACATCCTAGAAAGTCTGGAAATTGGGGATTTTGAAGAAATCGAAATTTCGAAAAATACATATTTTTAGGATTTTTTGAATTTTTTCCAATTTTTTTCTATTTTCTAGTTATATTCACTCCTGTTCTGAACATGTCAATAATTCTAAAAAACCGTAATCCGCTTATATTTCTTCACACTTCTATTATTTTTCCTTATCTTTGGAAAAAAAAAAAGTTTTTCGAGAACTTTCTAGAACAAGTTCTAAAATTTTTCATTTGAAAAATAGGTTGCCGTAAAACCTGTATTAGAAGGGCTCCTCTAACAGAAGGGCCCCCCCTTCAAAATGTGTTTTGAAGTCAGAAAATTTCCGTACTTTTTCAGTGGAAAAAACCCGGGTATTAATAGAAGAGCCCCCTCTAATAGAAGGGCTCTCCGTTTCAAAATTCTCAACGCTAAAAATCGCAAAAAATTAAGAAAAATTCCATTATTTTGCCATCTTCCTGTCAATATGTCTAGAATTGTCCTTTTTTTTTGGTCCAATTAAGCTCCGCCCCTTTTTCAAATAATTTTTTAATCCGATTAGTTTATTTCTTGGCTCCGCCCACTTTCTTTTCCGAGCTCTTCAAAAAATTTCGAAACTTTCTTTTAAATTTCCAGATTTCCTAGAAAAATCTCAGAATTTTGTTTCTAAAATTTTTCAAAACGCTCTTCTTATACTTACCGTAAACACTCTAATAGAATGCCACCCAAGACATAAACTTTGTGCCCATGTATCTCATTTTCTGTGAGAGATATCAAAAAGTGGTCAACTGATGAAATATTGCTGATATCATGATAAACATTTTATCAATTGAACACTTTTTGATATCTGTTACAGTAACCGAGATGAATGAGCTTGAAGTTAGGAAGGCACCTCTTGCGTCTCTCTGGGGAAGGGGGAGGCGCCCTTGTCGATTAACGTGGGACCCCTAACTTTGAGCCCATATACTTCGGCTCCTGTAAAAGATATCAAAAAGTGGTCAACTAATCAAATGTTGCTGATATAATGATAAACATTTTATCAGTTGACAACTTTTTGATATCTTTCGAAAGAAGTGAGATATATAGGCTCAAAGTTGACAGTTTGGGTGGTGTTCTATTAGAGTGTTTACGGTATATTCATTTTTCTCATTTCTTCTCTCTCAAAATTTCGATTTTTTTTTCAAAAATTCCAAAATTTCAGATTTTCCTAAAAATGGGATATTTCGAGACAGTAACCACAGAACTGGCCGTAATCCTATTGCTCATCGCTGCCGCATTTTTAGTAGTCGTTTTTTGTCTAATTTGGATTTTCAAGTGCAGGAAACGGTAATTTTTCAATTTTCAAAAAAATTTTTTTTCAAAAATTTTTCTATCTATTAGCTGTTAATTACCCTAATTAACTAATTTTCAGCTCTTCTCAACCACCAATTCTACCTACAGTATCCCGAGTCGAGGAGCCCTCATGCACTAATGACGCCTTCGACTGTGTCGATGATCATTCTGCTAGGTAATTAATTAATTAATTGGTCAATTAAACACTTAATTAAGTCCTAATTATCAATAAAGTGTTGATTTTTCAAAAAAAAAATTTTTTTTCTAAACTTTTTTAAATTTCAGAAAAATCGAAGAACGTCGTCGAGCCCGTCAGCAAGCGCTACAGTACTCCCCCAGAGCAGATTTATCGCTCAGAAAGTGAGTTTGGGTTTTTTTATAATTTAAAAAATTTCAAAAAAAAATTTCTTTTGAAAAATTCAAAAAATTTTCAGAATCGACCCAGAAATCGGCAAAGCGTTGGCCGTTGAGCAACTGATGAGAGATTCTCTGGTTTTCGATAGTTTGCCCCGCCCACCAAAGGGCACTGTAGAGATTGTGGCGGCGAAACGGGATTATCTGTAAAAATGCTGAAATTTTTTCTTGAATTTTTTGAATCTTTAAAAAGTTCCGATTTTCATGAATATCCGGTTGTTTTAGGGGTATTTTGAGCTGAAAATTCGATTTTCAGAGTTCATTTCACTCTAGAACCCTTCTGAAATGGTGAAATCCCTATTTTCTGAAATTCTGAAAAAAAAACTGAATTTTTCGAGTTTTTTTCGATTTTTCAAAAAAAAACTCGATTTTCATGATTATCCGATAGTTTTAGGAGTTCTTTGAACTGAAAAATCGATTTCTGAGCTTTATTTTGCTCTAGAACAACTTTCAAACGAGAAAATTCCATATTTTTTGAATACTGAAAATTTCTGAAAAAAATATATTTTTTGAATTTTTTAAATTTTTCAAAAAACTCGATTTTCATAATTATCCGTTAGTTTTAGGTGTATTTTGAGCTGAAATTTTGACTTTTAAGCTTAATTTTGCTCTAGAATCATTTTGAAGTGGGGAATCTCTGTTTTTCAGAAATTCTGAAAATTTCTGAAAAAACTTTTTTTTGGAATTTTTGGAATTTTTTCAAAATTCACGATTTCTGGTTTTTTAATGGTTTTAAGGGTATTTTAAGCTAAAAAATCGATTTCTGAGTTGTATTTCTCTCAATATTCCCTTAAAAATGCTCAAATTTGAAGTTTCTGAAATTTTGAAATTTCAGAGTTTTTTTTTGAATTTTTTCGAATTTCTAAGAACCCCGATTTTCATGATTATTTCATGGTTTTATAGATTTTTTGAGTTGTAAAAATCGATTTTTGAGCTTGATTTCAGCCAGAAAACACTCTAAGGACCCAAATTCCCCTTAAATCTCTTAAAGTGCTTTTTCGAAAAATTTCAAAATTTCAAAATAAACATATTTTATCATTTTCCCAACTTTCTAGACTAATTTTGTCTGAAAAACTTGAATTTTCATCCTATTTTACCCCTAAAACCACACTTTTTTTGTACAATTTCAATTCCCAATACCGGTTAAAAATCCCCCAAAAAATACCGTAAACACTCTATAGAACGCCTCCCGAATCGTCAAATATGAGCCCATGTATCTCATTTTCTGTGAGAGATATCAAAAAGTTATCAACTGATAAAATGTTTATCATGATATCAGCTACATTTTATCTGTTTACAAAACTTTGATATCTCTCGAAAATGAGATATGTAGGCTCAAAATGGACGGTCCGGGTGGCGTTCTATTAGAGTGTTTGCGGGATATTTTCTTAAAAAATTTTTTTGTTGCCATAATTTTTCCCAATGTTCCTTTTTTTGTATTTTTACGGGTTATTTCTTAAATTTTAATCTCTTTTTGCTGAAAAAATCTATAAACTGCCATAATTTTTGTGCTATTTCTGTGTATAAATAAATTTTTAAAAATAAAAAAAAATTTTAAAAAAAAATCAAAATTTCAAGATTTTTTAATTATAAAAAAAAATTAATTATTAAATTTTCGAGAAAAAAAATAATAAACTTTGTGCTCCTCTTAAATTTGATAAAATGTTCAAAACACCGTTTTTCGTCAAATCCATTGGTCAAAAGCCGTAGTCTATCGTAGGTGTGACATAGTCTATCGTAGGCTTCA